CCCCCCCCCCCCCCCCCCCCTTCACCCCACACCGGCGGCCGGGGGCGCCGCGCTGGGCCGCCCCATGACGCTCGACGTAGTGCCGGCCGAGCCAATCAGCGAGCGGGAGCGGCGGCAGCAGCCAATAGGCATGGGGTAGGGGGCGGAGCTGAAGCAGGACGCATGCGTCGGGGCGGCGCGGTGCGGCCTGCACGTGTGGCGGCGGGCCCGGCGGCGGCGGGTGTCGGTGTGGCGGCGCCATGGGGAGGAAGCTAGACCCCACCAAGGAGAAGCGCGGCCCCGGGCGCAAGGCCCGCAAGCAGCGGGGGGCCGAGGTGGAGCTGGCCCGCTTCCTACCGCCAGGTAAGTCCCGCTCCGGCCCACACCGGCCCGGCCTGGTGGGGCCGCCGCCGCCAGTGTGGGCTGACCGACCGGCTGACCGCCCGCGTGTCTCTCCTCAGAGCCAGAGACCGGCAAGAAGAAGCTCTCTAGTCACGGGCGGAAGAGGTAAGGGCGGACCGGCGGGGCTACAGGGGGAGGGCCCCGGGGGAGAGCGGCCCGGGGCTGACCCGCCGCTTCCCCTCCCCATCCAGGGCTGCCAAGAGGCGACTGGGAGCGGGCAGCGCCCCGGCGGGGAGGAGGCCGCTCGGCGGAGGAGGAGGAGGGCGGGAGCCGGCAGGTGAGTGCTGGGCAAGGTGAGGGGCTGTCACCCCCCCCGCCCTGCAGCCCCCCGGGGCTGTCACCCCCCGGAGCCCCCCGCTGCCCCCAGGCTCCGGCCTCCCTTTGCATACCACGGGACAGGTCAAACTTTGTTATTTTAAACGACTTTATCCAGATTTCTGGTCCCTGCCGTGCCAGGCGGCAGCGCTGTCTGGAGGAGCAAACCAGCAAAAGGTCTCCCTTCCACCTGTTAAAGCCACTTCTGACCTATTCCTCTATTTGCAGCGGGGTTATGGCAGGCAGGTTGGGGGGCTGAGGCTGTGAAGCTGGCTGCGTGACACCCTGTACGGCCTAGGAGGCTGTCACAGCAAGAAGAAGGATGGATAGACAAAGATTTGGGAAAGAGAGTACCGTAATGCTTTGGAACGGGCTGACCAGGGAAGTGGCCGAGGCACCATCCCTGGAGGTTTTTAAAAGATGGGTAGACCCGGTGCTTAGAGACAGGGTTTAGTGATGGTTTTTTTTCAGGCTTAGGTTGATGGTTGGACTAGATGATCTCAGTCCCTTCCAGCCTAGATAATTCTATGATTCTATAATGCATCAGAGCAAACGCCGTAAGAATTCTGTGTTTTTCTTTGATAATTCCAGTTAGATCTCTTTAAATTTTCGCTGTGGGACAGATGGGAACATACTTTTGTTTACAATTGAGAAAACACGTGGAGTGCAAGCAGTTCCTTCTCTTGGACAGGTAGCTCAGGACTAGGATGAAGGCCTTTTTTGTACAACAGCTTAAAAAGACAGGGCAGCTGCTTTTGAGAATAACGCCTAACTTTTAACTGCCTCCTCTGCCTGCAGTTAAAGAGCAGGCCCCCCCGCAGAAGGAGAAACGTGCCATAAAGGCAGCAGGACAAACCCCTCGTGGCCGGCCTGGCTTCAGTGACAGCAATTCGAAATGGCTGGCTCCAGCCAAAGCCAAGAAAATCCAGGCTAAAGGAAACAACGTGGAGTTATCCAGCGATGGTGAGGTGGAAGAGGGCAGCTGGGAGATGGAAGAGGAGGAGGATGGGAGCAGTGATGAGATGGTGGATGATTATGGTGCTTCATCATCAGAGGAAGAAGAGGTAGGAGCTTTTGCTGTTAGTTACACAAGAAATATTTGACTTTGGCTAAAAGGACCCATCAAGCCTGGGCAAAAAAGAGTGACTTTGCTGGTGGGTGGATGGTGAGGTGGTGGAGAGCTTTTTCCTTCTTCCTTTCACAAGAGCAATTTCAAGTTTAATAACTGATCCCAGCATAACATTTGGTGGGTTTGTTTGTTGTCCTTTTTAAACAGAATAGGTAAATTTCACAGATGGCGGGAAGTAGGGTGTCACCTGGAGATATTGTTTCATTAATCTTTTATTTCTCTTTAGTTGCTGCCTATTGAAAAAGCTGCCCTGAAGCAGAAGTCTGACAGGTGAGGATCTGAGAACGTGGCCAGTTCACAGAGGCTTTCCTGGTTAGATGAGGAGCCTGTTGTTCCTCCTTCTGCCATCTAAGAAATCCTAGTTGTGAAGTGCCTGTGTGCTGCTGTTCTTGTGTAAAACATCTCTCCTGCTCTTTGTCCTTAGGGGAGGTCTCAGTGAAGATGACAGTGAAGAAGAGGAAGAGGAGGAGGACGAAGAGGAGGAGGAGGAGGAAGAGGCAGTAGAGAAGGCGAGCAGGCAGAAAACGGGACAGAAGGAGGAAGACAGCACAGATCTGCAGCTCAACCTGGATATAGACGAGCAATTTAAACTGCCAACCACTGAACAGATAGAGAGAGAGGATATCCTTTTTATCTGTGACATCCATAAGCTACATGCACACAGCAGCGTGGGGCTTGGATACAAAGAGCTTCGTTTGGACTTTATCACGAGTATTGCTTAGCAAGAGTGGTTTTTTTGTGCATGACAAGGTATTTTTAGATGAGCTGCCCTAATAGCTGGTACACAATGCTGTGCTTCTGTACGGCGCAGTCAAGAAATCTGTTACACCCTGTATGGAGCTTGGAGCCTGCCCCAATTTCCTTTTTAGCTCTAAATGCACGTGGATATCTTATCACGTACTTCATTCCTCTGTACCCGGATTTTCCTGGCAAGCTTTCATCTAACCCATTTCTAGAGCCTCTGGTGATGGCAGTTCCCGCATCTAAAGTGCTTGCTCTTGGGATTTGGTGATTTTAATTTCCTGCCTGTTGGTACATTTTAGTCCTGCCTCACCTCTTCTCATTCTCACCCGTACCCCTTAGTTGCCTTTGGGGAACTTCCACTTTCCTTTCTGCTACAGGTAATGTTTTCAGTATTCAAAGTCTTTTTTTGTTGTCTTCTTTTTCCTAGTTTGTTTTTTTTTTTTTTTTTATCTAAAGTGATTAACCAAATCCTTTTAAACACCTTGTAGTTTTTGCCTTGTGAGCTTTTTCATCCAGTTAGAATCATAGAATCATAGAATTGCCCAGGCCGGAAGGGACCTCCAAAGGCCATCTAGTCCGACCTCCCCGCAGTCAGCAGGGACACCCCCAACTAGACCAGGTTGCCCAGGGCCTCATCGAGCCTCACCTTGAATATCTCCAGGGAAGGGGCCTCAACCACCTCCCTGGGCAACCTGTTCCAGTGCTCCACCACCCTCACAGTGAAGAACCCTCTCCTAATCTCCAATCTAAATCTGTTCCCCTCCAGCTTGAAGCCATTGCCCCTCGTCCTGTCACTACAGGCCTTTCTAAACAGGTTCTCCCCAGCCTTCCTGTAGGCTCCCTTCAGGTACTGGAAGGCTGCTATTAGGTCTCCCCGGAGCCTCCTCTTCTCCAGGCTGAACAACCCCAGCTCCCTCAGCCTGTCCTGTAGCAGAGGTGCTCCATCCCCCTGATCATCCTTGTGGCCCTCCTCTGGACCCGCTCCATCAGGTCCATGTCCTTCTTATATTGAGGGCTCCAGACCTGCACACAATACTCCAGGTGAGGTCTCACCAGAGCAGAGCAAAGTGGCAGAATCACCTCTCTGGACCTGCTGGCAACACATCTTTTGATGCAGCCCAGGATGCGATTGGCCTTCTGGGCTGCAACTGCACACTGCCTGCTCATGTCCAGCTTCTCATCCACCAGCACCCCCAAGTCCCTTTCCTCAGGGCTGCTCCATCCTTTGAGTGTCCCCTTTGCTGAGCTCTGATGACAGTGCATTGCAACAAGGCCTTTCTGGTGGGGGTGCTGTTGTGGTGCAGGAGTCCTGCATGACCGATGGTGCTTGGAAAGAGCCCGTGTGCGTGTTTTCTTGGCTCTTTGTGATTCCTTAATGGCCATTCTACCCGCTGAGCCTCCTGACCTGCACGTCATTCACCAGCGCATCAAGGGCAACATGGAGGTGCTGCAGGACTTTGGGGTGAAGCGGGAGGAAGGCCGCACGCGGCAGGAGTACCTCGCGGTGTTGCGCCAGGACATGGCCGCCTACTACTCCTACAGTGACTTCTTGCTCACGAAGCTCATGGACATCTTCCCACTCCCTGAAGTAGGATCCTGCCCTGCCTGTGTCTTTGGCTGATTGATGAGGATTTGGCCGGCTCCCCGGGTCATTGTTTTCAATCTCTGTTCTCTGTCCCTTCTTTCATCCAGCTGATAAACTTCCTGGAAGCCAATGAGGTTCCCCGCCCCGTGACCATTCGCACCAACACACTCAAGACACGGCGACGGGACCTGGCACAGGTGAGGAGGAACCTGTGATTGTCTGCTGCGCTGGCTGCCTGTCACACGGGGCCGTGTCTCAGTCCCATCTCCTTGTCTTGCAGGCTCTGATCAACCGTGGGGTGAATCTTGACCCCTTGGGGAAGTGGTCGAAAACGGGACTTGTTATTTATGACTCCTCCGTGCCCATCGGTGAGATCCCCCTTCCTGTCACAGGGCTGAGCTGACCTGCTCTTGGCTCCCTTTCTTTCACGTGTCACCTCCTTTTGTTCTGCCATCTCCTTTTGTTCTGCTTTCCCTGCCCAGGTGCCACCCCTGAGTATCTGGCTGGGCACTACATGCTGCAAGGAGCCTCCAGTCTCCTCCCTGTCATGGCTCTGGCTCCACAGGAGAACGAACGCATCCTGGATATGTGCTGTGCCCCAGGAGGCAAGACCAGCTACATAGGTACCACCCTGCAGCCTTGGGTGGGGGACCTTGGGAGGGATGCTGGGTGAAGTGATGAGTTTCCAGTGGCCTATACAGAAAGGGGGGAAAAGAGGGAGACTAAACTCGGGGAAAGGAATCACAGAATCACAGAATCTTAGTGGCTGGAAGGGACCTCCGAGATCATCGAGTCCAACCACAAGGGAAAGGGGGTGGCTGTCCCTGCAGGCAAGAGCACAGGAGGTTTTTCAGCCCCTGGCTGATGTGTTTTGCCCTCTTGGCAGCTCAGCTTATGAAGAACACGGGTATGATCTTGGCCAACGACAGCAACGCCGAGCGGTTACGTAGCGTGGTAGGGAACTTGCATCGTCTGGGAGTCACCAATGCTGTAGTGAGCAACTGCGATGGACGACAGTTCCCCAAGGTATGTTCCTGCCTGCTTTGGGGTGTCCTTTACCATGCTGACCTAGACCTATCATGCTGTCCCATTAGTAAAGCTGTGTTCTCTAAAGCCATTGTCACAAGAGGATGAGCAAAGCTGCTGGGGAGCGTGTCTGTTACTCGAGGTGGAGCCGGGAAGGTGGGCAGGGAGGAGTGAGGGATCTTTCCTGCCTTCCCAGTCTTCTGGTTCCCCTTCTAGTCTTGGTCTTGGTCTGAGTCCCCACCTGTGAGTGTAATTCCAAATCTACATCTGCCTGTAGGTGCTTGGAGGGTTCGACCGTGTCTTGCTTGATGCTCCTTGTAGTGGAACAGGCGTCATTTCCAAGGATCCCGCTGTCAAAACCAACAAGGTGAGTGATCAGTGTGGACACAAGGTGGGGACTCAAGTTATGAGTCATGAGAGGAGGGACTTCAGGGCTGCTTTGTTCTTGAGAGATGCCTGCAATAGGGATATTGATTTTTCCTCCTCTTCCCTAGTCTGCGTGTTGTACCAGAGCTGTTTTTTTTTTTGAGTTCTGCAGAAGATTCCAGAATCTTCTATGTCACATGTGCTTTGCTCTCCTGTCATCCCTCCATCCGCACTAGAGGCCTGGGGTGCTTCCTTGTTCCTCTGGCATCCTAACTTGTCTTTCTCTTTCAGGATGAGAAAGACATCCTGCGCTGTGCTCACCTGCAGAAGGAATTGCTTCTTAGCGCTATAGATTCAGTCAATGCTGCCTCAGAGACAGGGGGCTACATTGTCTACTGCACTTGCTCCATCATGGTAAGTCCATTCCACACTCTGCTGTGGTCATCTACTCAGGGGACTGGTGAGCTTTGGATCCTAACGCTTAGTCTCTGGCAGGTGGAGGAGAATGAGTGGGTTGTGGATTACGCCCTGAAGAAACGCAACGTTCGTTTGGTGGCCACAGGCTTGGACTTTGGCAAGGAAGGCTTCACCAGGTGCGTGCCAGGTCACAAGCTGCACGGGTGACTGCTCCTTGGTGGCCAGGTGGGAGCAGAGGTGTTCTATCACTTCTCATTGTACTTCCTCCTCCAGGTTCAAAGACCGTCGCTTCCACCCCTCCCTCAAGACTGCGCGGCGTTTCTATCCCCACACGCACAATATGGATGGGTTCTTCATTGCCAAGTTCAAGAAATTCTCCAATGCCATTCCCCAGCCCCAGAAAGGTAACCTAGTCCTGGAGCTCTGCTAAGCTGCCTGGGCCTGCTCTCACAGGCTGCCTCCCCTGCAGAAGCTGTTCAGATTCTTCTTACAGCACCCTTTTCTCTCCTTTCAGATGAAGAACCCGCTGTGGATGCAGCAACTCCGTCCACTGTCCCTGGGACCGTCATGGAGCCTCCACCAAAAAAGAAGAAACTGGAGGGATCCAAAGTTGTCAAAGAGCAGAAGCCACCACAGCCCGCTTTGAAGAAGAAACATTCCCTGCAGGCACAGAGGAGACCCTTGAAGACTGGCCGGCCTTCTCCCAAAGTGATGCGTTCTCAAGCCCCTCCCAGGAAGAAGCATAAAGTGAAAACGAATGGACAGTGAGAGGAACTGCTTTTCCAGGTGTTGGTCCCCTCCTCGGAGAGCAGAGGCTGGGGGCTGCCTCAGCAGTGCGTGTGCCACCGTGTCCTTCCTGCTCCGTGCAGATAATTTCTGCAGCACTGAGCGCCTGGGACAGCTGTAGCCCCTTTTGCTCCTTTCCCTCTCCATCAAGGACTGATGCGCTGGCCCATTAAAAGTTTTATACTCCTGCTCAAGTCTTGTCCGTTTCCCTTGAACACAGAATTCTGCCGTGTCCCCTTACTCCTCTGCAGCAGAAACCCCTTCCACCCCCATCTGATGCCGTGGCATTTCTGGTGTGTGTTTGTGCTCTCCGCAGCGTGGACGTTTGTGAAGAAGCAGTGGGATGTGAAGTCCTCTCTGCCTGGATGAAGGTTGCATTGTGTGGTGCCTTGTCAGCAGAGCGCTTTGCCAGGGCAGGGCGAGAGCTCCTAGGGCCAGTGGTCCTCTGCTGGTCCTTAGTTCCCTGTTGTCACTGTGTGCTGATCTAGGTCACTTGTGACTGTCCCTAGTTCACCCTTGTTCTTGGCCTCTCAGACTGCAGCAGGGATCGCTGCTGGTCCTGGGGCTGCATAGTCACGTTTGTTCTTTTTGCCTTTTTGTTTCACGTAGATGTGGTTGCTTCTCCTTGAGATGTAACAAACAGGGGTCCGGGCTGTTTGTATTTAAACACCAGCCAAGATCCCTTTCCTTTGTTGGTGTGAGTTAATACTCTCTTCTTCAGTTCTGCTTTCCAGTGAATAATTTCTAGAGACGGTTCGTTAATAAGCTTTCTACCAACTGTGCTCTCCAGCTTCTGTTCCACCCCAGAGCATAGAATCATAGAATCATCTAGGTTGGAAGAGACCCTTGGGATCATCGAGTCCAACCATCTACCCTACTCTACAAAGTCCTCCCCTACACCATGTCCCTTAGCACTGCATCTAAACGGCCCTTAAACACAGCCAGGGATGGTGACTCCACCACCTCCCTGGGCAGCCTGTTCCAATGCCCTATCACTCTTTCGGTGAAAAATTCTTTCCTAATGTTCAATCTAAACCTACCCTGTTGGAGCTTGAAGCCGTTCCCTCTCGTTCTGTCACTAATTACCTGTGAGAAGAGACCAGCACCAACCTCTCTACAGTGTCCTTTCACGTAGTTGTAGAGAGTGATGAGGAGTCAGGTGTGTAACAGACCTGAGGCACAACTCTTGCACCTGGAGTTGTCCTCCTAGCTCAGCTCACGTGAGGCTTTGCCTCGATTTGTTTTCCTGGCCAAGTTTTGGGTTCCTGGGAGAACTTGATGTGCTATTCCCGTGCTTGGTGGCAAGGTCAGCTGAAGGCAGTGGAGTGTAGGATCTAGGGATTCCTTTGTGGCCTGGTCTGCTACGTGTGAGGCTGCTGCTTTCCCATCTTACCAGGTTCAGCAAGTGGCAAGCCGAGTGTGAACGCCAGGAACTCCTACAGACGTACTATACTGCAGAAATTCCTCCACCCACGCTATGGATGGGACCTGATGCAGACCAATGAGCAGAAAACGGAGAAAAGTGCTGTGGTGGGTGCCCAGGAAAACTCAAGCAGCACTTGCAGAACTCACACAAAAGAGGCCTGATCCTCTCTTTACTCAGTGTCCCATCAAACCTAGACCATGCTGGTGGATCCTGTGCATGCTCCTGCCTGGATCTGTGGTAGCTTGGTCCTCGTACTTGTGGTCTGTCGGGTATGTGGCTCTGGGACCTCTTATCCTACTTAGGGGCTAGTCCTGCTTGCAGATGCTCGCGGATCACAAATGCGCACGCACGCAGAGGGGACAGCTAGGATTAGTTTACCACCATCTGTCCTGGCCTCGTGTTAATCAGCTGCAGGGCTCAGCCGGACAACCACACTGACCAGCAGCCACTTTCTGCGTGACTGGCCCCATATTAGTTATTTTTTTATTTATTTCTCCTCTCTGCTTTCTCATTCCTGCCTGATCTGACCTCAATGTCTCCCTTTTCCCACCTTCAGTCCTTCCCATAGACATCCCATAGTAAGTTTTGCTCCCATAATCTTCCTTGAAACGTTGCATAATAAGCTTGACGCAGTCCCACAATTATTCTCAAACGTCCCATCTTGCCCATAAAGACACCATAGTTTTGCTTTCTTACCGCTTGTGAAGTCTCAGGCTGAAGCTCTTCAAGGTTGCACTCATGTGGTTCCTGTAATGGTTCAATCTGTCCCAGTCTCGGGAGTCCTGGTCTTCATTAACAGCTTCTGTTGTCTCCTGCTTTTTAGGGCTTATGCATTTTTGTGTTTAATTTATAACTCTGGGTTGTTATGTTGGGTGGGCTTTGGTTTGGGTTTTTGGGGTGGGGTGTGACTTTGTCTTTTTCTCTTGAATAGCCATTAACCAAATATCCCTCTACTTCAAAATCACTTTTTTCCCCACGCTTCCCAGTGAATTAGGGCAGGGAGGAACCCCTGAATGCGTCCCTCTGACTCCAGGCTTGTGTGGTAAGATCTCTGGATTGCCTGACACAGGACCCCAGAGAAGTTTTCTGGGGTCTTTCAGAAAAAAAAAAAATAAATGCTAGGTGCTATTAGGAAAGGAATGATTAGATGGCAAAATGGAGAAGGTTATTACTGCCCTGAACAAAATGACAGGGCATGCGCTCCGTCAGTCCTGCGTTTCTAGTGTCCTCCATCTGAGTAAGGGTTGTAAAACTGGGAAACGTTCAAGGAGAACAAAGACATCCAAAGTTATGGAATGGTTTCTGTAAGAGGAACAGCTGGGGTCTGGGCTTCCTTAAGGTTGGAAAAGAGACTGGGGGGCAAGAAGTGATACAACAGTGTGTGAAATGGTTAGTGGCGTGGAGAAGACAAACAGGGAACAATTGCTTGCTCTTTTCCAGTAAAACTGAAAACCCCCAAACCCTAGGAGCCATCCAATGTCCCTGAGGTGTAGGTAGCTGTGAAAGTCCTTTCTGCAGGGTATGGTGGATACCAGAAGCTGACATGGGTTGAAAACCCAGCCCTATGCACAAGGGAAAAGTGTTTTTTGTAATGGCTGGTAAACACAACTGGCTGAGAAGATCCATGAGCTGTGAACTGCTAGAGGCTGGAAGAGTGCTGTGAGGAGGGACTGTTGCTCGTTTGCCCTGGTCACAGACCCCTCTGTCCACATCCTGCGCTGGAAACCGGTTCCTGGGCCATTGTTTCCCTCAGCTGGGTCCTTGCTGTACATGGCCTGCATTGCTTGTGGCAACACCAGCTTCCAGGCAGGCAGGGCCCTGCCTCTGCTCCTCCAGCCTTATTTACACAGGAATACTGTGTCCAGCTTTGGAGTCCTCAACACAGAAAGAACATGGACCTGTTGGAACAGGTCCAGCGGAGGGCCACGAAGATGATCAGAGGTTTGGAGCACCTCTCCTATGAGGACAGGCTAAGAGAGCTGGGGCTGTTCAGCCTGGAAAAGGGAAGGCTCCGGGGAGACCTCATAGCAGCCTTCCAATATCTGAAGGGAGCTACAGGAGAGCTGGGGAGGGACTCTTTGTCAGGGAGTGCAGTGACAGGTTTTAAATTGGAGGAGGGGAGATTTAGACTAGATACTAGGAAGAAATTCTTTCCTGTGAGGGTGGTGAGGCACTGGAACAGGTTGCCCAGAGAAGCTGTGGATGCCCCATCCCTGGAGGTGTTCAAGGCCAGGCTGGATGGGGCTTTGGAGCAACCTGGTCTGGTGGGAGGTGTCCCTGCCCATGGCAGGGGGGTTGGAACTCAATGATCTTTAAGGTCCCTTCCAACCCAAACCATTCTATGATTCTACAATTTCTTTTCCAGTTCTAGCAGATTCCCTCAGGAGTGATAAAATGCAAGATTTTTAGGATAAATCTCCAAACTGGAGCCGTGTGGTAATCTTCCAGCTCTAGGGTGACTTGCACCTGGACAGGCTTCTACCTCTGGCAAGCCATGAGCCTGTCCTTCCAGGACCAACGCTGACCTGTCCCACTTTGCTGCTGCCACCTATTGAGGTTCCAAGGCTAGTGTATAGCCTCAGTTTTTTAACCAGTTTGTCTTGATACAACCCCAGTGGTGGGGACAGAAAGTTCTTGGTTGGGATCTCAGTGTAACCATCTGTTTTCTAGTGGACCCCTCCAAATTAGGTGTGTCCCCTCTGAAGGGCAGGAAGAGATGCTGCTTTAACCACGTCAATAGAACTTCCCTCTCTCACCGAGCATCATTCCGTGGGCTGTGCATGCCTGCAAACCTCTTGCTGTGGCTGGGGAGAGACAGAGGAAAATTTTGGCTCTCTTTGGTGGTTCGCTCCCCTTTCTGCTCTTTAGTTCAGCCGTTGCAGTTATCGCTGCTCAGAGAGATAATGTTGAAGTGCTCCACTGAGCTTTGGAGGCAGTATTAGGATGGGGTGGCTGGGGACAAAGGCTGGTGGCTTCCCTCTGCCACCACCTTGTTCTAGTACAAGGCCATACTAGACTTACGTATACAGCTGCCTTCTTATTCTGGGAATCTTTTATTACCTGAAAGCTGAGATTTTTGGAAAATGTGGCTACTGGATCATCTTTCAGTACCTTCCTTTAATTGATTTGAATATCTGAAAGCTGCTGCTAACGTGGGTCGCAAGAGCTGAGAACAAAGCAAGAATTGAGGCAAAACAAGGGTTGAAAACAGATGTGAGGAGTAAAGACCACCATCATAAATTAAAAGCTGGTGAGAGAAGTCAGTGTAGTGTGTCATGGTATCTGTTCCACTGTGCTGTGCAAAAACGTTACTGGGGTGGCATTTAATGACTTGGAGGAAGGAAGGAAAAAAAAAAAAAAGGGAGGGTAAGCAGTTCTGCAGTAGAGTTGCCACTTGCTGTAAAGTTATTTAGGCTAAACAAGGCCAGAAGGGTGCAAAACAAACCTGGTGCATGGAAGAGGTGAGGTTATCATAGCATCATAGAATGGTTTGGGTTGGAAAGGACCTTAAAGATCATCCATTTCCGACCCCCCTGCCATGGGCAGGGACACCTCCCACCAGACCAGGTTGCTCAAAGCCCCATCCAACCTGGTCTTGAACACCTCCAGGGATGGGGCATCCACAGCTTCTCTGGGCAACCTGTTCCAGTGCCTCACCACCCTCACAGGAAAGAATTTCTTCCTAATATCTAATCTAAATCTCCCCTCTTCCAATTTAAAACCGTTACCCCTTGTCCTGTCACTGCACTTCCTGACACAGAGTCCCTC